TGACTGCTAGCCTCCCTCGAGAATGGTGTTGATTTACATTACCACCGTGAATTATTTTTCTAGAGAATAGAAATGCATTGAAGACCCATTGCATGCCAGCCACTCTGCAAACTGCATTTCACTGCCTTCTCACACCAGGGTTCCGCAGTAGACATTATCATTTGTGTTTTACAGAAAAGGAACCCACGGCAAGAGAGAGTTAAGTTACGCTTTCCAAGGTGACAAGTAGATGGAGAATATTTTCCGAGCTCTGTCTCTCTGGCCCACCTCCTCTCTGACTGATTCTTTTTCTGCTCTCGTTCCACGTCCTTCTTCCTGTCTTTCTTCATCTTGCAGTGGAATCACTGTTCCCTAGTCGAGTTTGAGCGTCAGGTACTCAGTCGGTGCCTAAGACTGCACTGGGACTGTGGTGGACATGACAGCCTATTGTAGCTGAGGCTGGGGGACAGATGACTTAAGGTCCCTGGGTGGTGCAAATGGTTTGCAGGTGTCTGGTAACCCTGGGGGTGCAGTGGTTAAAGCGCTTGACTTCTAACTGAAAGGTCAGTGGTTCGAAATCCACCAGCTGCTCCGTGGGATAAAGATGTGGCAGTCTGCTCCTGTAAAGATTTACAGCCTTGGAAACCCTCTGGGGCACTTCTCCTCTGTCCTATAGGGTCGCTATGAGTCGCAATTGACTTGATGGCAGTGGGCTTGAGTTTTTGTAGGTTTGGTAACCAAAAGATTAGCAGTTCAAACCCACCCAGTAGCACTGCGGAAGAAACAGGCCTGGCGATCTGCTTCCGTAAAGATTACACCAAGAAAACCCTACAGAGCGGTTCTACTGTGTAGCACCTGAGGTCTCCTAAATCTCAAATCAACAACAGAAACATAATCAACAACAAAAACTCTTGATGACCTAACCCGTAGTCAGTCAGTAAGTCAGTCTCTATCATTGGAAAGCATCACGATGAACTCATTTCTCCATTTGGGTTTGATAGCAGGACCCTGTCATCACCTCGTCAGCAGGCAGCTTCTGTTTGCTTGGAGAGGCAGAAGCAGTGATGAAGCCTGTGCACAGCTCCAGCTGCCCTCCCGGGGCGCCATTCCACAGACAACACCTTCCCTTCAGTCATGTAGGAAGTGTATGCTCTTATTACCTCCATTTTTGGTCATCTTTAAGACCATCAAACATCCCCTCCTACTAGGATTATTTGAGAAGGATTCCTTGGGCAAGCAGATCACCTAGTGGGAGACGTGGGATTTTTTTTTTTACCTGGAAGATATTCCCTAGTACCTTTTCCGAGTTTTTGGGTGGCAAAAATGGTTAAGTGCCGGACTGTTAATAGAAAGGTTGGTGGTTCGAACTCACCCAGAGATGCTTCAGGAGACAGCCCTGGTGATCTACTTCCAGCGGTCAGAGCCGTTGAAAACCGTCTGGAGTGCAGTTCCACTATGCACACGTAGGGTAGCTGTGGGTCAGAACTGCGTCTGTGACGGCAACTGGTTTGGTTATTTTTGTTCAGTACCTTTTCCAGGAGACCGAAATGTCCAGGTCATTGGCCTTGAGTCTCTCTCCCCTCGCCTTCCCCGTGTCTCTTTCTTTAAGTGTCATTCTTAAGGGCAGAGCAGGACATGCCTGCAGGATGACACCGCATCACAGGCTCTTCGCAGGCCTGTGACTCAGAACCAGGCTCTCTCCATCAGAGGGAGGGTGAACATAGCAGAGATGACTCAAGTGGCCGCCATCCGCCAGGGGTCTGCCTCTCTTAGAATAGCAGTCAGGGAGGCCAGGGGAATGCTGGCCCTTGAGGCCTGTGGTGTTTTCAGACCGTCCATGGAAGGAAGCAAGTGTGGAAAATGTCTTGGAAGCACCTGTGAGCTGTCTTCATTCTACCAGGTCCTTAATTTAGGTTTCAAGTAATTCCCTAATTTTAGCATCGTCTATTCATTGGCTTGTTTTTTCCTGCTGCCTTCCCCAAAGCCAGCTCCCCATAGCTCTCATGTCCGTGCCATTAGCTGTTGGGCTAATGATCTCCACAATTTGAAAGGCATTTCTGAAGGCCTACTATGTGCCAACAAGGAGTCCCTGGGTAGCACAAATGGTTAAGCACTTAGATGCTAACAGAAAGGCTGGTGGTTCGAACCCACCCGGAGGCACCTTTAGAAGAAAGTCCTGGTGATCTGCTTCCGAAAGGTCACAGCCCAGAAAACCCTGTGGAGCTCAGTTCTGCTCTGCACACATAGGGTCGCCACGAGTCAGGAATGACTCCACAGCAACTGGTATGGTGGTATACTATGTGCCCGGCCCATAGGAAAGGCCAGGCCTGTAATCATCAACAGCAAAAATTTCCTCTGTCCAGAGGCTCAGCCTTGATTGGGCATCACAGTCATGTAAACAAATGCATGCAAAAATTGAGATGTACACAATAGTGCATGTGTGTGCAGGGTTCATGGGGCTGAGAGGGTCCCCATCTCTATAAATGAACCCCCAGCTATTTACGACGGAAACTGGCATCACCCTAACTCCCTACCCCACATCCAGTCCTCGGGAATGCTGTTGGGTCAACTCCTGATCCTCCGTATAAAATCTGTCTACTTCTGTTCTTCCTCTCTGTGCTCCCATGTTGGTGAAGGCCATCATCATCTCTGGCTTCTGCGGCAGCCTCCTTCATGGTGTCCCCTCATGCCCTCTGATCATACCACTCTCTTTGTCCTCAGACCAGACCAGCCTAAACCCTCCTGGAGCTCTCTGGCCCTGCCCCGCTCTCCAGCTCCTCTCTCAGCTTCTGTGTTTAGCCTGGCCTGTTCCCTTCTGAGAGCACCCACCCTTTCTCTGACCTCAGGGCCTTTGCACCTACCATTCCTCTTGCCTGAAACACTCTCCATCTCCCTGTCTTAGTTACCTGGTGCTGCCATAGCGAAAATACCACAAGTCGGTGGCTTTAAAGAACAGAAATTTATTTTTAGTTTAGGAGACTAGAAGTCTGAATTTAGGGTATGACTCTTGGAGAAGGCCCTTCCTTGATTATTGCAGCTTCTAGAAGCTGCCAGCAATCCTTGTAGATGCATCTGTCTCTGTCATCTTTCTCTTCTCCCTGTGTGTCTCTCTGAGTCCATTCTGCTCTTTTCATAATTTAGAAGTGATTAGATTTATAACCCACCGCTACATGGGTATAACTTAATTAACATAACGAAGAAAACCCTATTTCCAAACAGGATCATATTTATAGGTGTAAGAGCCAAGATTTCAGCATATACACAATTCAATCCATAACACTTTCCTCTCCCCACATTGCCTAATGAATTCTTAATCATCGTTTTGACCTCAGTGGAGGGTCATTTATTTATATGGTCCTCTCCTGACCCCCGTGTTAGATCTTACCCCACACAACCCAAGCACTCTGTATTTACATTTGTCTTTCTTGCTGACTGGAAGCTGCATGACCTAGCATAGTGTCTGGCACCTAGTAGACCTCAGTAATGTGTGTTGAATGAGTACTAGATGGGAAGGCAGTGGAGGCTCAGAGAAGCCGCACAGAGGAAGTAACACCTACCCTAGAGGAGGAGGAGGAGTCCTGGGTGGTCAGGCAGGAAAAGGGGAAGAGCATTTCAGACAGAGACAGCATGTGTAGAGGCTCAGTGGCAGGAAACCCAGAAGTGGTTCTGGATGATTAGAAGACAACTTCCCTGAGAAGCGGTTCTAGATGACTACACCACAGCTTCTCCGGCAGGGGGCAGCTGAAGATGGGGACAGAAAGGGGTCAGGATGAGGTCTGCAGGACCTTGCATGAAAATGTAAAAAAGTTTTTAAGAAGAGTTTAAAAAACAAAAAGGCCAAAGAAACAATCCCAACATATATGTATGTGTGTGTATGTATGTATATACATTTATGTATATATAATGTGTATATGTATATTAAAAAAAAAAAAAACCCGTTGCCATCAAGACGATTCTGACTCATAGCGACCCTATAGGACAGAGTAGAACTGCCCCATAGGGTTTCCAAGGAGCGCCTGATGGATTCGAACTGCAGAGCTTTTGGTTAGCAGCCGAGCTCTTAACCACTATGCCACCAGGGTTTCTGTATATGTATGCATAATGTGTATATATATATATATATAATGTGTATATGTATACACACACACACACACACATATAGTTAGTTAATCCTTATTATTTGCAGATTCAGTATTTGCAAATTTGCCTACTCGCTAAAATTTATTTGTAACCCCAAAATCAATCTGTGCAGTGCTTTTGTGATCATTCACAGACATGAACATGCACAGAGCAATAAAAAATTGAGTCACCAGACTTGCCCATTTCCAGCTGAGGTCAAACAAGGCTGGCTCAGTATTTGCTAGTTAAGTGTTCACGGGATCTGAAGAACATAACTACTATGAAAAATGAGCATAGGCCTTATCTAATAGTGGTTAAGAGCTTGGCTGCTATGAGTCGGGATTGACTCGACAGCAACGTGTTTGGTTTTTTTTGGTTATGGTCAAACTTCAGTATGTCCCTGTGAAGGAGATAAGCAGGGTCCCTCCTTTACTTTTAAAATAAAGACACCCCAGGGCACGAAATGACTTGCAGGCTGACTCAGGAGTAGTCCGGCTGAGGATAGCGCCGGCCTCTTCAGTCCAAGCCTCCTTGGTTTCCCCCAGCCCAGCTGCCTCCCTCTCGCTTGTTTGTCTTCCAGAGGAAGGGCCATGCTTTCTGAGCGTCAAGTTCAAGGAGCAGCAGAGGTCTGGTTCTACGCACAGCTGTGGTCTTCTCCTGGTGCTCAGAGCACCAGAGCCTCAGACCAGCAGCCCCCAGGGTTTTGTCTGAGCCTCTGTGCCCCACTTTGTAAAACAGCAATAACAACCCCCACCTGCTAGAGACTTAAAGTTTAAGGAGCAAAAGTTCATGAGGCTGGTGGTGGCCATAAAGGCACCCTCCAGGGCCTGGAGCCTTTTTCCTCCTTCCCTCTGCCCTGTTTGTGTGAGCCCCTCCTAAGCCTGTGCCTGGGGTCTCCTCAGATGTTCCAGGTCATTCAGCCCGAGAGAGCGCTGTACATCCAGGCCAACAACTGCGTGGAGGCCAAGGACTGGATTGACATCCTCACCAAAGTCAGCCAGTGCAACAAGAAGCGTCTCACCGTCTACCACCCCTCCGCCTACCTGAATGGCCACTGGCTGTGCTGCAAGGCCTCCTCAGACTCGGCCCCTGGCTGCACCCCCTGCACTGGGTAAGTGGAGCAGACTCTCTGCCCCTTCTCCAGCTGAGCCAGCTCTGTGGAGCATGACCTCAGGCCAGTGCTCAGAGTGACCTGCCCACAAGGACACTGGACAGTGTTTCCCACCCCTCCCCTCCCGGTCATCCAGGGCCGCCAAGGACAGTTGTCTAGTCTGTGCACTGTACAGAGAAGTTGGGGTGAGGGGGCAAGTTGAACTAAAACACATCCCGCATCCACTCAGCAAGCAGCATACCCTCAGGCTGTGTCTCCCCAGACGAGTGTTGTTTTTTTTTTTTTTCCTAAATTGTTTAAGGAAGGGGCTGATGCACCTCTTTCTAAGCCTTCCACCCAGCAAGAGCACCTAGTTCTAATTCTCACACTGCCTCTGTGTAGACTAGCAGGGAGCTCTGTCCCTTCCACAGTTCCTCTTGCTCCCAGAGTGGGATTGGAGCTCACAAGCTCTTAAAAATGTCCATCAATAGCAAACCACAAAGGGTTAAGAAAAAAAAGTCCAGCGGGTGTAGTTTCCTTTGGGGGAGGAGGGGTGGGGCAGGATGAAGGCTGGGAACACAATGCAGAGAAAAACACCCCAGGGATAGAGTGCTGTCTTACTTCATCTAAGAAGAGTCTGCAAATATTCCACCACCCTGCAAAGCTTCATCCTGCTTGTAGATAAACCACCCCCTCCTTTGATTTCTCCAACTGAAATCTCGCGCATACTTGCCCTTTGTAAACTGAGGCAGCTCGTTCTCTTCTTGGCTCCTTCTTCAGCTGGGTCTCCTATGGCTCATTAGAAGCTCCAGGTCATCAGTGCTAGTCCTGAGAAGGAGGCCTGAGTGTGGCGCTCAGCCCACTGGTTATGTTAGATGTGACTTGTGCATATGATAATGACAACAGCAATGACGGCTCTCATTCGTTGAACAGTGGCCTCCTTAGGCATGTGCTCAGTGGTTGGCATACCTGCCCTCATTTCATCTTACGGAACCCTTGGAGATGGGAACTGTATTGTCCACTTCTATGCATGAAGAAGCTGAGAGTCAGAGGCTAACAAACTCATCAGGTCACACAGTCAATGGGCGGTGAAGCAGCAGTGCAAACTCAGGGCTCTGGGTATAAAGTCCCTTCTCCTGGGACTGCCTGTCATGCTTCTCCAAGGCAGAGGCAGGGGAGGAAGGAAGGGAGTCTCCATTAGTCCCCTTCTCTGTGGGTTGCTTTGAATCCATCTGAGCAGGAGCCCACAGCAGCTTCCAGGGCAGGAAGAGGAACGCCTGCTTTTTTCTCACCTGGAGCGCCTTCTAGGTGACCCCTCAGGGAACACATTGTCTGAGTAGCATCTGTGTTGTTACTGAGTCAGCCCCGGACTCATGGCCACTCCATACAAGATGGAACAAAACGCTGCGCGGTCCTGTGTCATCCCCATGATCAGCTGCAGATCAGACAGTTGCGATGCTTAGGGTTTTCACTGGCTGCTATTCAGAAGTAGTTCTCCAGGCTTTTCTTCCTAGTCTGTCTTAGTCTGGAAGCTCCACTGACAGATGGGGGATGGCTGTGCATGAGGTGCATTGGCCGGGAATCGAACCTGGGTCTCCTGCATGGAAGGTGAGAATTCTACCACAGAACCTCCGCTGGCCTCTGTAGAGGGTTGTCTTTTTATCTGGATCATTTATTTCCTGGGCAAAGCAAGTCTGTTTTGCTTGTTTGTTGCCTTAGGAGACCAGTGGGTAACAAAAAGCCCCCAGGCTCCCAAAACTGTGGACAGCCATTTCTAAATGCTTGTGAAGGGTTTTGCACACCAAACGCAAATGCCCGAGCCCTGATCTTTAGCTCGCCTTGTCAAGTATGGAGCCCTGGTGGTGCAGTGGTTAAGAGCTACGGGTGCTAACCAAAAGGTCAGCAGTTCGAGTGCACCAGCCACTCCTTGGAAACCCTGTGGGGCAGTTCTACTGTGTCCTACAGGGTCGCTATAAGTCAGAATCGACTTGACGGCAACCAGTTGTCAAGTAACCCTAAGTCTGGCATCAGTGTTAACGTACAGTCACGTGATCTTCTTTCTTTAGTGGTTCTTAAATATTAACACCATAATTAAAAGCATTATTTTAAATGAGTATTTTTGTCTTTGTGTTTGCTCTCCTTGTGTCTGGACAGCGGCCTGCCAGCAAACATCCAGCTTGACATTGATGGGGACCGGGAGACAGAGCGCATCTATTCCCTCTTTAACCTGTATATGAATAAACTGGAGAAAATGCAAGGTAAGGGCAGGAGGGAGCGTTCTGCAGCTTGTCAAGCAAGACTCGTGGGCAGTTTCGGTGAAGGCCAGCCAAGGTCCTGGGTACCACATGGAGTCATTCTCCAGAGACGCACCAGGAAAGTAAAAATAGTCCACCCGAAGCATCTGGTGTGTTTTTGGTCTGCCCTCAGGTGTCTTTGTTTATAGCACTGATGTGCAAAAGCTTCTTGCAAGTTAGGCAGCTATTTGGCGCAAAGCTACTTTACTGATAAGATCTACAGAGAATTTTAAGATGGAATTTAATGTGCAACATCTGAAAAACTGCCAAATTATTGAGACCTTCCTGTTACTTAGTAACCCTCCATACTTCCAAAATGAGACTTTCATTCTTTCGTGTTTTCCAGAGGGACGAGCGTGTGTGTGTGTGTGTGTGCGCGCACGCACAGCTGGTATTGCATGTTTCAAATCATATTCTGTGCAAGCTTAGTTATCAGTGACATTTAAGTGCTTTACATACTTTTTAGAACTTGAAAAAACTTCTAGGTCACCTAAAAAAAAAATCAGGTGACATGGGGCTGACCATCTGAGGGCTGTAGTGTAGGAGAAAAAGCAGACATAAAAAAGAATCCCCTGGAAGGTGAGTGAGCTGTAGTTGTTTCTACCGTGAGATCTGTAAGAGCTCAGCTCTGCTGTTAGGGAGGGGGCATGACCGGGGCCCTGAAGTCTCGCTCAAAAGGTGAACTAAAATGAAGGTGCCTGGAAATGAGCTTGTTTGATTTTCCCCCCTTTTTATTCCTTCCTGATCTAACCCAGAGGTGTCGAGTGCATGCCACAGCCTGGAAAATACTATAATCCTGCTTTGGCTTCCGTGCAATTGCACGTCTGTGAGCTCCGGTTTCCACCCTGCAGCACTCGTTCTGACTCATCCTGGCGTGTGCACGGGCACCCAGGTGCACACACACACACACACACACACACAAACATAGGAGGGCCACCCCCCGCCAGCAATAGGCTAAATACAGTGCCTGACTCCAAAGTACCAGAACTTCATGCAGCTATAGCCTGGAGGCTGCCTTTGGCCTCCAGGTGGCAAAGACAGTGGAGCTAGGATGGGGACAGCTTTTTTCAGCTCACTGTTGGGAACGAGCAAGACAGAGGAGGGTAGAGTCAAGGGATTTGAATAGGTTGAGGCCACAGTGTAAGATCCAGGTTCATTAAATAGACCGATTAGGCCCTCTGTGATCGGCTCCTGCTGCCTTCCAGCCTCACCTCTCACCACCCTGCCCCTCACTTTCCTCCCAGCAGTACCAAGCTGCCTGTGGCTGCCTCCAGACACCAGACCATTTCCCACCACTATGCCTTTGCCCCCACTGTCCTCTCTGCTTGGAATGCCCTCCCCCACTTCTTAGTCTGGCTAACCTTACTTATCTTTTTTAAGTCTCAGCCCAGACATTACCTTTTCCCAGGAGCTTTGCCTAACTTCCCCACCTCAGGTAGGTTTGGCATCATTGTACCATACCAAGAAAGCCAAACCCATTGCTGTCGAGTTGATCCTCACTCATAACGACCCTATAGGACAGAGTAGAACTGCCCCACAGGGTTTCTAAGATGTAATCTTTATGGGAGCAGACTGCCACATCTTTCTCCCATGGAGTGGCTGGCGGATTTGAACCACCAACCTTTCATTTAGTAGCCAAGCGCTTAACCACTGCAATAAGCTGTGACATTTTGAGAGCAGAGACCATGTCTTCTTTCCCCCAGTGCCTGGCACAAAGCAAGGACTCAGTACTTGTTTATAGGATGGATGGACGGACAGACGGACGGACGGGTGGGCGGAAAAGGTCTCACATATTCAGCCTTCCTTCCAGTACAGTCATCTTGACGACATGCATTCAGAGAATTTCAAAACGATTGGAAACCTCAAATCTCATCTGCTCTAGGCTTCTCATCCTACAGGATAGGAAACTGAGGCACAGAAGCATTGAGTCACTTGTTTAACTGTGTTCAAACCTCTGCCTAGAATATCAGTGCTTTTCGAGGCAATGTTTTTTTGTAAGAGTTCTGATTGCCTCAAGACACTCCTTTTATATTAGCCAGATTCCATTTCCCTGCACACTCTACCAATGGGTCTTATTTCTATCCAATGTAATAAGTCCTTTCCACCTATAAATGACGGACTTTTAATTATTGAAGAAAACTTGTAGTCACCTGTGTAAGAAAAAAATGGCCATGTAGTCTCCTTCATCCCTTCTGGGGCAGTTTCACCCCCTGGCCAACCTCCTTGGGGTACACTCAGGTTTGGGCACAGTCCAGCTGACATTCAGGTTTGGGTCATGGGACTGCAGTTGACGCAGATGAGCTTTTCGTGCAGTGGAAAGAGCCCAGCTGGAGGGGACGCCAGCTCACCATTATTTGAGATATAACCTGGGACAAGTTACATACTTCTTCATCTGTAAAATATGCGTGTTGTTGTTGGTGTTGGGTGCTGCCAAGTTAATTCTAACTCTTAGCGACCCCATGTGACAGAGTAGAACTGCCCCATAGGGTTTTCTCGGTGTAATCTTTACGGGAGCAGATCGCCAGGTCTTTCTCCCACAGAGCCACTCGGTGGGCTTGAACTGCCAACCTTTATGTTAGTAGCCAAGCACTTAACTGTTGCGCCACCAGGGCTCCTTTAAAATAGGCATAAATGCCCATTTATTAGAGTTTTTGGTCTAAGATTAAACGGATGCCTTGTATGGAGCATCTAGCACAGTGTCTCACACATCGTTATTAAATAAATGTTAAGACTTTTCACACCCCCCACACTGGTCGCTCGTTGCGCTTCAGTCAGCTGAAAGGTTCAGCTGATTTGATCAATCAGTCTCTTCCAACCTACCCTCAGAACTTAGTTTTAGTCCTGTTATTTTATATCTAAGTAATACTGAAGTTGGGTTCAGTGTTATAATCTATTGAGGTCTTTGTGAATCCTGTTTCTTATCATCAAATCTGTTAGATATCTTTTCCAACTTTATATCATTTGATCACCATTGTGAACATACTTTCTTTCGCCAAGGCTAAAATTATATACTTGAATATGCACTTTAATCCAGTTGACACTTGGGGACTACAAGTGGTCTACGAGTACAAATCTGCCTAATTAACTGTTCCATTTTTACTCTATGATTTTGTATCTTGTTCATGAGGCTATTTTATCAGAAGACTTGATGAAGTCAACATACACCTACTCCAGTATTTCCTTAAGCTCTATGAGTTTTATAAACCAGTTGCCGTTGAGTAACTGACTCATGGCGACCCCATGTGTGCCAGAGTAGAACTGTGCTCCAAAGGATTTTCTGTAGTTTATTTTTCAGAAGTAGATTGCCAGACCTTTCATGCTTCTGGGTATACTCGAACTGCCAATCTTTCACTTAGCAGCCAAACACTTAACCATTTGCACTTCCCAGGGATTCCCTAAGCTTTACTGACCCCATCAAAAGGGGAAATACAGTTTGCTTATAATGATTTATCCTAATGAATGCTAGTTTTATGATTTTCCTTCCTAAATACTCATAACCTACTTGTTTGATAATCCATTGAAGAATTTTGCAACTGATATATAGTTTATGGAATCCATCTTCTTCGTAAGTTCAACATTAAAAAATACTTGCCAGGCATTAGTCTCAGGGCATGTTCCCATTGCTTGTGACCGTCCACAGGTCACTCCCAGCACTTACTCACTCAGACCCTGGGTTCTTCGGTTCTCTGAGATGTGATTCATCTGAGACTGAAGAGCATGGGCTCTGGAGTCACCCTGCCTCAGTTGAAGCCCAGCATCATCAACTATGAGACAAATGAGGCAAATTACTCAGTCAGGCTGAATCCTCACTTCCTCTTCTGTGAAGTGGGGCTAGCCATGGACCAGCATAATAGAGTTAGTTTGAGGATTAAATTAAATAACCCACATAAAGCAGTTAGCACAGCACCCAGAACTAGACAGGCTGTAAATCTTATCTGCTTTTGCTTTTATAGTGTTTATCTTCATCATCATTGCTATTGTTGATCTCTCCTATCTGGTCATCAGTTCTTCCGTGATCTCTAGTTTACCCATCTATGCTGTGTAGCATTCTCTTTAATGAATAAGAACCAAGCCACGTAGGGCTCAGTTCTGCCTTGCTATTATCTGCTAACACCACATTACCTTTCCCAGCAATGAGAATGATGTTTTGGGTTGCCTTTCTCAATTTCCATGAATATTTATTTAAGGTTTAAGCCCTTCATACCGACCTGTGCTTATAGGCTTGTGGCATCCCTTTGCATTTGTCCTCTGATGAGCCCCTCCCTGCATTTTATGACAACAACTAACACTCACTGTGCACTGACTAAGCTGTGCCAGGCACTGGGCTGAGGGCTTCACTGGGGTCAGTCAGTCACCCTCTCAGGTGGGCACCTGTTGTTTTTGTTAGGTGCCGTTGAGTTGGTTCCAACTTATAGCAACCCTATGGACAACAGGATGGTCCTGCACCACCCTCACAAGTGTTGTCATGCTGGAGCCCACTGATGCAGCCGCTGTGTCATTCCGTCTCATTGAGGGCCTTCCTCTTTCTTGCTGACCCTCTACTTTACCAAGCATGATGTCCTTCTCCAGGGACTGGTCCCTCCTGATAACATGTCCAAAGTATGTAAGATGAAGTCTTCCCATCCTTGCTTCCAAGGAGCACTCTGGCTGTGCTTCTTCCAAGACGGGTTCGTTCTTCTGGCAGTCCATGGTATATTCAGTATTCTTCGCCAACCCCATAATTCGAAGGCGTCAATTCTTCCGTCTTCCTTATTCATTGTCCAGCTTTCACATGCATATGAGGCGACTGAAAACACCATGGCTTGGGTTAGGTGCACCTTAATCCTCAAAGTGACATCTTTGCTCAGTAACACTTTAAAGAGGCCTTTTGTAGCAGATTGTCCCAATGCAGTACTTCGTTTGATTTCCTGACTACTGCTTCCATTAGCATTGATTGTGGATCCAAGTAAAATGAAATCCTTGACAACTTCAGTCTTTTCTCCATTTATCATGATGTTTCTTACTGGTCCAATCATGAGGATTTTTGTTTTCTTTATGTTGAGGTTAAATCCATACTGAAGGCTGTAGCTTTTGATCTTCATCTATTACCCCCATTTTTCAGGTGGGTTAACTGAGGCACAGAGAGTTTCAGTAACTTGCCCAACATCATACAGTTATAGAACTTAGGATGGAAATTCCAGCAGGCTGGTTCCAGAGACCACAACTCCTCCTATACTTCACTTAATATAAGAAAGCTGGGCCCACGCGGCAGTGCCTTCGAAGCCCGCTGAGTGGCGTTCTTTACCTCTCTCCTTTTTCTTTTACTCTTTTATGCCTGGCGGGAATTGTTCAACACTACCTACTCAGAATTTCATGTTTACAGCTTCTTATCTTTCTCAGGTCATAGTTCCCTTAGAGTCTTTGTCCATAGAATTAAGGATTGAGAGATTTTTCCCTTGGACTGAAAGTCAGGAAAACAGTTCCCACATAGATGGTGAGAATTCTACCACTGAACCTCACTGTCCCTCTTCTGCTGCATAGGGATCGTGACATGACTGAGACTGAAAGTAGAAACAGGCCTGCGTGTCCGGGTACCCAAGTCCGCCAACTTCCCCTGCTCCCCTCACCCCACTGGGTGCCATTTGACAGCTCCCTTACCTCGTTGTTGCAGAGGCCTGTGGAAGCAAATCTGTCTATGATGGGCCCGAGCAGGAAGAGTATTCAACGTTCATCATTGACGACCCTCAGGAGACCTACAAGACACTAAAGCAGATCATCGCTGGGGTTGGAGCTTTGGAACAGGAACACGCCCAGTATAAACGGGACAAATTCAAGAAGACGAAATACGGGAGCCAGTGAGTATGGAGTCTGTCCCCGGGTGACATGTTACATTATGGCAAGCGTGTGGGAAGGCTGGGGGACGGGGCTGCAGGAGCTCAGAGTCACCTGTGTGCATGAGCACACACCTGACGACGAGGAGGGGAGTGTATGTGGGTTCCAGGAACAACCCAGCTGCAGTGCTCAGAGCCACGTTTACATGGGAGTTAGCGCTGTCTGTCAGAGGACGAGAGGCAGGCACTCGAGGAGACGGGACCCTTCAGAGGAGGTGACCCACTGTTCTCCCCAAAGCCTCTGCCCAGTGTCCTGAGGAAATCTACCGAGGTGGAGAAATGCCTCCTGTCCCACACTTGGCACCCCAGGAGTTTCTGACACTTTCCCTGTTCCCGGTGGTACCCAGACGTGTTCTCTGCCTCAGCTAAGTTCCACCAAACCAGAAACCTATTGCCGTTGAGTCAACTCCGACTCATTGCAACTCTATAAGACAGAGTAAAACTGCCCCATAGGGTTTCCAAGGAGCGGCTGGTGCATTCGAACTGCTGACCTTTTGGTTACAAGCTGAATTCTTGACCACTGCGCCACACCCACTGCCAACTGCAGACCTGTTGCCAGTTCTCCGTGCTACCAAGGGCACTCAGGAGTGGAGGCAGACTCTGGAGTGGCCCTCATGCTTTGTTTAGTTGAGGGGAGGTGGGGTATAGTGTGTGCAGGACACAGATTCTGGAGCCAGACTGCCTGCCCTCGATTCCTGGTTCACTCGCTTGCAAGCATCTGTCAGGGATCTCAGAGAAACAGAACCAATAGTATACACAGTGAAACCTGTCAGAGCCGGAACTCAATGGGATGGCCTTGTTTTCCCAGGTCTCATGAGGTTTCTGCCTTTGACAGGGTACAGTCTTGCTACTTTTCTATCACCTGTTTTAGTGGAAGATATTTGAGTTTTCCTTCTGACAGGTTTCTGCCTTACACAGGTTCCAGCTTTCGCAAGTTTTACTGTATGTGTAAAGATAAATATATGTATATATGCACATACACGCACAAAAAACAAAAACAAAACTCATTGCTGTCAAGTCAGTTCTGACCTCAGCGACCCTGCAGGACAGAGTAGAACTGTCATAGGGTTTCCAGTGCTCAGCAAGATGGATTGACACAGTGGCTGCAACAATGGGCTCAAACATAGCAGTGATTGTGAGGATGATGCAGGACTGGGCAGTGTTTCGTTCTTCTGTACATAGGGTCACTATGCATCAGAACCAACTCAACGGTACCGAATAATAATATAAATCTTTATGGAAGGAGACTGCCACATCTTTCTCCTATGAAATAGCTGGTGGGCTGGAACCACCAACCTTTTGGCTAGCAACTGAGCATGTAACCACTGCGCCATCAGGGCTCCTTCACATACAGACACACATATACATATACATCTACTTCTCACTTATCGACTTTCTCATCTGACATTTTGCATTTACGACGGTAGTAAAAAATACACTATCCGACTCTTCTGCACATTAACGATGTATATCTGGCACTAACAAACACTGAGAGTAATGCTGGCTGTGATGGTTAAGGTTACATGTCAAGCTGGCTGGGCCATGATTCTCAGTGGTTGGACAGTTATGTAATCATGTAATTTGGCAGTTACATAATGATGTAATTTATCAGTTATGTAATGACGTAATTTGGCAGTTATGTAATGATGTAGTCATTCTCCATTTTGTAATCTGACGTGGTCATCCGCCATTTTCACGTAACGCTGATTTTCACGTAATGACCTGGTCTTTGGAACCTATCTATGTTGGTAAGTGAGGAGTGTGTGTATATACCTGTGCAAGTTGTTGTTGGTTGCCGTGGAGTCAGCTCTGACTCATGGAAACCTAACGTATAACAGAACAAAACGTTGCCTGGTCCTGCGACATGTTCATGATCGTTGGTGTGTTTGAGTCCATTAGCCACTGGAAACCCTACAGATCATAACAGAATGTACATATACACATGTTATTGTTGTTACCTGTTGTCAAATTGGCCCCTGACTCATGGAAAGCCCATGCACAATGGGATCAGATGGTTGTGACTCATAAGGTTTTCACTGACTGATTTTTCAAAACTCTGCTGAAACCTGTTTAGCATGACAGCAACACCAAGCCTGCACTGACAGACGGGTGGTGGCTGTGCATGAGGTGCATTAGCTAAAACTCAAACCTGCACGGAAGGTGAGAATTCTACCACCGAGCCACCACTGCCCTCACATATACGTATACAGAAGATTTATTTTAAGAAACTGGCTCTTGCAACTGTGGAAGCTGGCTAATCCAAAATCCTTAGGGCAGGCCAGCAGGCTGGAAACTTGGCGGGAGTTCACACTGACTCCTGAGGCAAAATTCCTTTTCTCTGGGAAATCTCAATTTTTGCTCTTAATGCCTTCAACTGATTGGATGGGGCCCACCCATATTATCCAGGATAATCTCCTTTACTTAAAGCCATCTGAGCGTAAATATTAATCACAGCTACAAAATGCCTTCACAGCAACATCGAGAGTAGTGTTCCACCAAACAGCTGGCACTGTAGCCTAGCCAAGTTGATCTGTAAGACTAACCATAGTGCCAGTTAACCACAGGCAAGTTAATTAACCTCTCTGAACCTCATTCTCCTCCTCTTTGAAACAAAACCTTCCTTACAAAGTTGTTGAAAGACTATCAAGTTAATTGTATAAAAGGCTTAGGATAGTACCTGGCGCATAGTGAGTGTTCCTTCAAAGGTCACTGCTAGTGTCGTTATTAGCATCAGGTGCTAGGCTTCCTCCATCCTGCAGGTGTATGTGTGGGACCAACATGGCGGGATCAACCTGCACATTCTTGAACGGTGGTGGACGAGTGTGACAGGGAGCTTATGTGGGGCAGCATGTGCTCTTCCTATCCTTCCTTCCAAGGGAGATGTGGGCTTGATAAAGGGAAAGTAGTGAAGGCTCTTGGAGAAAAACAGGACCCCTCTGATCTAGACTTTGGCTAGGTGGCTCACAGGAACCAAACATGACATGCCTCACAGGTGATATCTGACTCAGTCTCTGCTCCTAGGTGTAATTGTACATGGAAGTATAAACTACCAAATCATCATGCCATATCCCTTTAACACTTCTCTGCGGAGAGAGCCCACATTGACCTTTTAAAACGTGTTGTCTTCATCTGTATTAAATGTATGCATCAACCTCATCAGGAGCCCCTGTTGCGTAGTGGTTAAGTGCTTGGCTGCTAACCGAAAGGTTGGCGTTTCAAACCCACCAGCCACTCTACAAGAGAAAGATGTGGCAGTCTGCTTCCGTAAAGATTACAGCCTTGGAAACCCTATGGGGCAGTCCTACTCTGTCCTGTAGGGTTGCTGTGAGTCAGAATTGACTCGACAGCACACAACAACATCAACTTCGTAGTCAAAAGCCAACAGGTTGAACACAACATACAAAGCATGATCCTATTTCTTATAAGAAAAAGGTATACATGTACTGTCTCATTCAACAAGCATTTACTGAATTCTTACCTTCCATGCAGGTTTGATTCTTGGCCAGTGCACCTCACGCACAGCCACCACCCATCTGGCAATGTAGGCTTGGTGTTGCTGTGCCAGGAACTGTTCCAGGCACTAGACATTCAGCGATGCACAGAACAGCTCAAAACCCCTGCCCTCATGGAGCCTACATTCTACACACACATACATATAAACAGCAAATGTGTTCACAGTGGCTACTTCAAGGGATGGGCTTTGGCATAATTGTTACTTTCTTCGTTTTGCTTATCTGTATTTTTTAATATTTAGTACAGTGAGTATGTATCATATTTATAAGTAGAATAAAGACCCTAGTGGCATAGTGGTTAAGAGTTCGGCTGCTAACCAAAAGGTTGGCAGTTCGAATCCACCAGGCGCTCCTTGGAAACCTTGTGGGGCAGTTCTACTCTGTCCTGTAGGGTCACTATGAGTCGGAATCCACTTGACAGTAACAGGTTTGGGGTTTTTTTTTGTAGTACTAATAAACATCCACAAGTATCTGCTGCCTTTGATGACGGAGAATGTGCCTCATTTTCCTTCTCCCCCCTCTCTCCCGTTTGTAGGGAACACCCCATTGGAGACAAGAGTTTCCAAAGCTACATCAGACAGCAGTCTGAAATTTCCACTCATTCCATTTAAAGCCTGCGGGATGTCCCAAGATGGCGCTGCTGAGTTAACCCCAGGAAGCCAAACTCTTTGAAAAGGAAAAAAGAATGGGAAAAAAAAAGTGGACAGAACGAGCAAGCAAAGGGAATCCATATTTCATCAAAGTGTATAAATAATAAGTATCGAGCTCTGAAACTGTTGAGACTTATGTTGTTTTTTCCTCTTTCCAAGAACTGTTACAATAGTTGCTATGCACTTTATTCATCTGGCATTGACACAGGTGACCCGAACTCTGCCTCTCTGGCATGTGTGTTGTCGGATGTGTTTTGTTTTGAAATTTGCTTTGGTTTCTTGGGAATCTAGCGATCAGTTCAATGATCAAGACGCATGGACTTTCCTGTGACAACACCCCAGCAGTCCTCCCCACTAGAGAAACCAAGTACGCCCTTGTTGAGTTGATTAACGAGACAGCATTATTCTGTAGAGCCGCATACTTTTTGTTTCACGTGCAGTTTTGCTGTTGCTGGTCTCTGTACAGTTGCCCTGCACCTGCGTAGCCCTTTAGGCCCTCTGCTTTTAACACGTTTGGGGATGTTAAGAGTATTATTCTTTCTTATGAGCCTGCTGTCCTGGGTTGCTGAAAAGCAAGCTAGGAAAGACAGCCTCTTGGTTTCAGATGTGTGATGCTGGTTTTGTTCCCAGCTGAAGGATCACTTTTGTGGCTGGGATGTGTGGAACTGCATAAAAATCCCTCTTTGAGGATGCTCCTGATCTTTTTGGAATATGGGCTTCCTTCTACAGAGAGCTCTGGCCTTTAACTTGTGTTGGGATCTATGATGACTTTGAAATGATCAAGACTTGGGAAAGGGAAAGGTGCTGATTTCCAGTCTTCTCTTTGCATCTATTGCTGCAACTGCCTCAGTGGGGATTAGAACCCTGCCAAGCCAACTGCTCTGAGAAGTGCTCCTCACAGCCTGTGGATGCCTGTGGAGTCATGCCGACTGGGGCTGATGAGCTGGGGTCCTCTGACTCCCTGACTCCAAGCACAGAGCTGTTCTGCTGTTGGATGGGATTTAAAACTAGAATCCATATGTTGACCACCACTTGTGGAAGCTTGGGGAAAGATTTTTTAAACAGAAAGGTGCATTTTTCAAGCTGTTTTTCTTAATGTTTTTAACAGACAGTTTTTAATTAGCTCTTTGATATAAAACCTATACTCTTTAAAGGGGTGGATGGATGACAGTGGGACAAATACAAAGGGAACGGATTGTGTCTTTCATGAATGCCAGCTAAAGGTCTTCAAAAGAAATTGAAGTAGGGAAGAAATTCTGTAAGCTTGAAATGTTGGGGCCTTAGATGGTCCAGACTTTCCTCTTGGGGCCCCATGAACAATACTTTGCCTCTAACTCCAGGAAGCCCTCCCAAGAAGCTCTGGGGCTCTGGAAGCCTAGCAGAGCAGCAGGTGGGGGTGGACGCTGGGGATGGGGAGGGAGTCAGCTAGGACCAGAAAAAAAAAGGGCAAGTCACAACATCTTCGACTTGCTCTCCAGCTGTTTGCTAAAGAAACTTATTCCAAAAGCAGATCTCCTCACAGGGTATGCAGCATGCAGCTCAGCAGGCTGGGGTTTAGAAAGCACTGTTTAAAATAAATAGTAAGATGTATCCTTGTAATGATTTCTCTCTGTTCTTGTTTGGAAATACTGTAGTTCAGACTCTTAATCTAGATGGCAAAAAGTATCAGTATTTGTTGTCACAAAAATAGTGGAGGAAAATGTTGCAGAAGATCAAATTTGGGACACACAGCTATTAGGCGGCCACTGAACTGCAATTTTTAACATGGATTTGTAACTTAATATTTCTGTTTATAAAATACTAATGATTTGCGATGTATTTTACTGGCCAATTAAAACAGATGTTTTATTCTTTGTGAGACCTGGCTTGGTTTTTCAAGGGTTCACACTGGTAGTTACACACTTGGGTGGGGGTGGGAGTGCAGTGTGTTGGTAAGGGGAATGGATTCATGCGTGGGAGGAGAAGGGGGAGGTGGTCTAACTAGAAAAAATAGCTCCGATAGGTGACATCTAGCTGGGGGACATTGGGCCATGATGCTCTCCAGGAGGAACTGGTGTAGGACCAGCTGCTACTGAGGGACATGGAGAGCATGTTCTGAGGTGAGTCTCTCCTGTGGGCTGAACGTGAGGTGGCCAGCTCAGAGAAGACTGAAAAGACAGACTCCATCAAACACTACAGCCTCTAGAATGCAGGCAGCCCACAGCTCTGCGGAACCAGAATGAGCCAAAGGCAAGTCTTCTAGACAAGAGGAAGAATTGAGGTAATAGACATAGAGAGGCAGCTCTTCCTATGAGGAGACAACTGGAAGGTAACTGTCTCCCTGGGTGGCAGGCAGAGGGGCACTTCAGCGTTGTTTTCTAGGCAGATGGTTGTTCTCCCTCCTAGAGAGATGATGAGGAGTTAGGAAAGGAGCAGGAGAAGGGAGGGACTGAAAATGAAAAGAAGGGCTATTCTGGGCAGAGACCCCACCCCGCTCCACACATCATTAGAAGTAAAGACATTAAGTGCATCTTCTCATTTCTTTTTCACTTTCCCACTCCCAACCCCCATTTTGGTTTTCACTTAAAGTTGTTTTTTTTGCTTTGTTTTTAATTCCAGCCTGAGTCAGCTCTGTTAAGAGAAAAAATGAGGGAATTTGACTATGTTAAACACCAGAATCAGACATTTCTGGGGAAGCAGTAGACACCCACGTTTGATGGATGTACTGGTGGCAGCAGGGCTTAAAATCCACTGTTTCCCAAGAGACAGTGAGCTGGGGAGACTGAAGTTAGGTGCGCTGATGAGCCAACCTTCTGCACCTGACCTCCTCATTCCATAAGACGACCAACCAACCCATTGCCATCAAGTCAATTCTGACTCATAGAGACCTATAGGACAGAGTAGAACTGCCCCATAGGGCTTCTAAGGCTGTAAATCCTTAGGAAAGCTGATTGCCACAGCTTTCTCCCAAGGAGTGGCTGGTGGGTTCGAACCACAGACCTTTCAATTAGCGGTCGAGGGCTTTAAGTACTGTGCCACCAGGGCTCCTTATTCCACAGGAGGTGCTTGGTAATTAGAGAACGAGAAGAAGGTCCTTTCATTCAGTGTTGCTTTCATGCTGAGCAAAAATCAAAGACCCTCCTTGTCGCCCTCCATTCCCACTTTCTGTCCACTCTGGGCTGGGGCAGCTGAGGGTGGTGTGGAGAGCAATGCCAACCTGGGGGTACAGTTGAAAGATGGCATCCAGGTTTGGCAGGGTTAGGCACAAGGTGGTATTGAGGATGGAGCCAGCCGCTCAGGCTGAGCCCAGAAGCAGAGGCCAGGGGTACCAAAGTTAGCCCAAGAAGTCGGCATTCAAGGCAAGGCCGGAAGGCAAGCATGCAGGAACCTGGAGGATCAAGGTTAAGATTAAGAAGAACATTGCCAAGTTGGACTCAGTCCTGAGAAAGGAAACAGGAAGATCAAGAAATGTTATTCCATGTGAGAAGGAGTTGGAAGGACTGGAAGACAGGAGACAGTGGGAAGGTGATGGCAGATTGACCTGAAACCCCCTCTCCCAACAGCTCCCAAAGAGAGGTCCTTGTTGCCTTCTTGTAGACACCAGTGTAAGTCCACTTGCTGTTTCACAAGACAGCCTATCAGCTGAAGCCTTTGGGTTTTGGTTTCTATGTGGAACTCTTCTTTTTTTTTTCTTTCTTTCTTTTTTTATTTTTGTAGTTTAAATGAAGTTTACATTTCAAGTTAGTCTCCCATACAAAAATTTATACATACATTGTTATGTGACCCTAATTGCTCTCCCCTGACTGTGACAGCACACTCCCCTTTCCATCCCTGATGCCCGATGTCCATTCAACCAGCTCCGAACCTTCTCTGCCTTCTCACCTCACCTCCAGACAGAAGCTGCCCA